TAACGCAACAGAAAAGAATACCTTTAAATTAATACTCTGGACTCTGTGAGCGCTAACATGGAAGCTGCTGCTGCCGCAGTGCATGCTGGGACAGCTGTCAGTCTGGAGGACGGACAAGTCTGCTCTGATGCATGCTGGGTAAAGAGGGAGGGGCCAGAACAACATTAGGGGACTTTGTCCGTTCTCAGTCTGCTGTTCTTGTGAATTGGAACAGTGCTAGGGCTGAGGATGATGACGTTTCACGAGGACACGAGGATGCACAAGAACAGAAAGTGAGAAATAGAGTTAGTGACAGAAAGTGACATCATTCAACACAGTAAATATGAAGGCAGCCATTTTAGAACGTGACCATTCAGACAGATGTGATGTTCAGAAACCAGAAGTTTTCAAACTATTAATTAGTAGTTGAGTAAACAGAGTATTTAACTCTAAAAAAAATAGAAATATTTGGGATGTTCTAAACATGTTTGACCAGTAACATATGTAGAACCGTTCAGAACCTCCTCACTGTCTGGTTCCTTTGTTCGCCATGTCTGGTCCAAAGGAGAACCGTCTGACCACGGCGTGGCTTTGCTCTGTTTGGACCTGCAGGTTACTGCTGGCCTTGGTTCTGGTCCCGTCTCCATCCTGGCCTCCGCCTCTGACCTGCGCCGTGTCCATCCTCAGCAACGGCCGCGTCGACCGCAACCTCAAAGTAAGCCCCGCCAGGACGCGCCCAGGCTCATCCCGCTGTTTAACGCAGGGGATGTTTAGCTGGGGACCAGCAGGGGGCGCTAGGGATGCTCCAGAAACATGGAGGGGAAATTAGAAACGATATACAGATGAAAATGTGCACTGAAAAGTTTTTCATTCATTCTTCTATGATAGAACTCATGATATTATCATCATAATGAAAAGAAACACCTGAGTGATTTAAGGTGACCTTTGACCTGACCATTAGCTTCATTTAACATCCATCCAATGATCAGTCAGCTCTATATTCATGTCCTCTGTGGGCTCAGAGGGTCGATCTAGCTCTGAATGGGTCATGTGATCCAGAGCGCCACTTCTTATCAACCTGAGCTAGCTAAACCCTGAGCTAGCTAAGCTAGCAACTGCTAGCTCTGACGCTCAGCCAATGAGCATTGTTTCTGGTTAACCTAAAGGGGGTGAATGTTTCGTCTTTACCAGGAGCTGCAGGACTTCTCCTTCTGCTGGTCTAGCGCCCCTAGTGGCTAAAAGCTAGTGTTGCTAACGGGGAAAGTTTTGATTTAAACACAAAATACAGATTTAGGACCTGCTGCTAACTTCCTGTCCCCCCCCATCAGGTCTCCTCCTTCTGCAGCGAAGCTCTGACCGTCTGTAACTCCCTCCTTCATCCCCGCGCTCCGTCCATAGCCCTGCCGCTGCCCCCGCTGGCCCTGAAACCGGCCCCCACTCCCTCTGTCCTCTCCTGTCAGGGCCCCGCCCCTAGGCTTGCGCTGCCTACCCTCCTCGGAGGCCCCGCCCCCGGCCCACCCTTCTCCGCCCGTCACCCGCTCAGCATGGCCCCCAATTCCCTGCTGGGCTCCTTGGAGAACCACCTGGGTCTGGTTCCGGGGCTGCCGGGCCAGGGTTCCGGTCCGGGGGACCTGCTGCTGTCCCCCCACTCGCACTCCCAGACGGACCCTGCTGGGCTGGGGCCCCCGGAGGGCCAGAGGCCCGTGTTCGTCCGCTACGACAAAGAGGAAGCCGAAGACGTGGAGATCTCTCTGGAGAGCGACTCTGACGACAGCGTGGTCATCGTCCCCCCCGGGATGCTCGCTGCCGACAACCCGCCGGACGACCCGGCCGCCAACCCCCAGAGCGTCCTGTCCTCTGCGCCGGGCGGCGCCATTCCTGCGGGGGAGACGGTCACCTTGGCGACCGCCGCCTCGGCGCAGACGGCTTTAGATGTGACGTCGCTGCCCGACGATCTGGTGACCTCCTCCGCGCTCCTCGCCACCTCCAGCGCTCCCATAAACTCCTTCCCCCCCTCCAGCGGCTCGGTGGTGTCGCTGGTTTCCTCGCTGAGCGCTGCTGCTCCCGCCGGCGGCCAGGCAGACTCAATGGCGGCCAAACCTCAGCTCCAGCAGATGCTGATGCAGCCGTCCTCGGCGGCGGCGCCCGGCCCGATGGCTTTGCCGCTCCAGATGCACCAGCTGCAGAACCAGCTGGCCCAGCAGGGGCGCCACCTCCACCAGCATCCCCCCGCACCTGCCGCCAACGAAGAGTCGGCCGTCATTAACATCAACAGCACCGATGATGAGGAGGAAGACGAAGAGGACATGGAGGACGACGAAGATCTGGAGGAAGAGGAGGAGGACGGCATCGACGAGGAAGACGAAGAGGAGGAGGGCAGCGAAGAGTTCTACGAGGGGGAGGAGTTTGAGGAATTTGACGAGGAGGAGGCTGAAGAGCTGGAGGAGGATGAGGAGGATGAAGATGGAGACATGCCGCCTCTGGAGGGATCGGAGGACAAGTCTGAGGAGGTGGTCATGGAGGAAGAGGAGGAGAAGGTGCTGCCAGCAGAGGAGGAGGAAGGAGAGGGCGGCGTGGAGGAGCTGCAGAGCAGCAGAGCTCTGATGACCAAGGAGAGGCTGAAGGTCCAGGAGGTGGAGAGCATCGGCGTCCTGGAGGAGGCCAGGGACGACGATGACAGCGAGCGGATGGACGACCCCACCATGCCACAGATCCTCTGCGTCACTGGCGGGGCGCCGGAGGAGGGAGGCGACGGCGGCCGAGAGGCGGCGGAGGCGGTGGGAGAACTTCAAGAGAAGATGGAGCTGTGGGATCGAAGCATCGAAGACAACGAGCCGGCGGGCGGGCAGAGCCAGCAGGTGGGTTTAAGAGCGACCAATCAGAGGCCGGGGCTGCGACCAATCAGAGGCCGGGGCTGCGACCAATCAGAGCAGAGCTTTGATTGGAGGAAACATGAGGAGGTCCAAAAAGTTCAAAATCAATCCGCTGGACTTTGATTCCAAGTTTGAAGACTTTTCTCTTCCATCCAGGAAGATTTTTTCAATTCAAAATGTCGGAAAGAGAGGAGCAGCGGGAAAACAAGGATCCTTCTTCTATTTCTGACATTTTGAACGGAAAAAGCTTCCTGGATGGAAGAGAAACGTCTTCAAACTTGGAAACAAAGTCCAGTGGATTGATTAACTTTTTTGAAATGATAATGACCTGGATGACTGAGAGGAGGATTTAAATTCAGGGAAATTTTTATTGAAAATTCTTCATTAGATTAGATTAGATTCAACTTTATTGTCATTGCACAGGTACAGGTACAAGGCAATGAAATGCAGTTTAGGTCTAACCAGAAGTGCAATAGCAGCAGAGCAGGATAAATAATGGTTCCATAGATACAGGACATGGGTTCTACTGAATGAGTATAGTACGGTGGCCCTGAAGTGCAAACTGCAACTACAAATCTAAAAGCGCAACTACATTAAGGAAAACAAAACTACATAAAGCAAAGCAAAGGGTCAAACGGCGCCGTCGTCCAATCAGCGATGTCTCATGTTTCCCACTGGTACCTACCTTTTC